CTGATTAGGGGACTGGAGGCTGATTAGGGGACTGGAGGCTAAAACATATGAGGAACGGTTGCAGGAACTGGGTATGTCTAGTTTAATGAAAAGAAGGACTAGGGGAGACATGATAGCAGTGCTCCAATATCTCAGAGGTTGCCACAAGAAGAGGGAGTCAAACTATTCTCCAAGGCACCTGAGGGTAGAACAAGAAGCAATGGGTGAAAACTAATCAAGGAGAGAAGCAACTTAGAACTGAGGAGAAATTTCCTGACAGTTAGAACAATTAACCAGAGGAACAGCTTGCCTCCAGAAGTTGTGAATGCCCCAACACTGCAAGTCTTTAGGAAGAAGTTGGGTAGCCATTAGTCTGGAATGGTATAGGGTTTCCTTCCTAGGCAGGGGTTGGACTAGAAGACCTCCAAGGTCCCTTCCAACTCTGCTATTGTATTGTATTGTAAAATGGAACTTTGAGGAATCACTAGCCTCTGAGTCTTCTTTCGTTGGGGGGGGGGTCTTATTGGAACCCTGACAAATGGAACCTCTAATACAGGGGTATCAAACTCTATTTCATTGAGGGCCACATCAAGGCTGGGGGGGAGGGCAGGCAATGTGGATGACTGAGTGGGTGTGACCAACTGGGTGGCTGTGGCCAGTTTGACACCACTCACTGGGCATGGCCTACTGGGTGGGCGTGGCCAACTTGACGCCGTTCCCCAAACTGCTGGCATGTTTCATCTTTGCATTGGGTAGACCGGACTGAAGCCTCGCGGGCCCAATGTTTCCTCTTCGCACTTGGTAGACTGGGCTGAAGCAATGCGGGGCAGCTCCTTACATTTTCCAGGACAGCCCTGCAGGTGGATCTGACCACATCACGGGCCAGATGTGTTTGTGTTTTATTAGTTTTGTATGCCGCCCACCCCCAAAGGACTCCGTGCGGCTCACAATAAAACAGGGAAAGGGGGATAAATAGGACAAAACAACAATTTAAAAATACACAACATTCACAATTGAAGCGGGGCTGGATACTTGTGTTTGACACCCTTGCTCTAAGATGTTCAGATTCTGAGACTAGGATGCAAGAAGGCCTGTGAATGGCCACGGCTGAATCCAGATCCAGACTCTGATCTTTCCAACCCAACAGAGAGTTGTGCAAAAAGACATCGAACATAGAATAATAGAGGATTGGAAGGGACCTTGGAGGTCTTCTATTTCAGCCCCCCCTGCTCGAGCAGGAGACACCATTTCAGACAAATGGTTGTCCAGTCTCTTCTTGAAAGCCTCCAGTGCTGGAGCACCCACAACTCCTGAAGGCAACTTCCATTGGTTGATTGTTCTCATTGTTAGGAAATTTCTGTTTAGTTCTAGATTAGTTATCTCCTTGGTTAGTTTCCAACCATCGTTTCTTGTCTTGGCTATTAGTGCTTTGGAAAATAGGTTGACCTGCTCATCTATCATGTATTATTGTAGACAATAAAGTGGCCATGATGAAGGAATGTTTCGCATCCTTCCAGGCAAGAATTCTTCCATTGCGCTTCCTGGAATGCTCTTGGGACCAGAGATGTTCTCCTGCCCTGAAAAGGTGTTTTTAAATGGAGTTTTTGGTACAGCTCTTTCCCCTTTACAAAATACAGTGGCATGGCTTAAACAGAGAGCAAGGACACGGGTCAGAAGCTCTTCAGATATTGAGGGTCTTACCTTCCAAATGCTCCATAGGTATTGACGATCCTGAGGGGGTTGTAGGAAGTATTCATGATTTGCTGGGAACTAATCAGATTGAGAACCACTGGAATGCTGAGGAAGATGATCAGCGCCCCAAAGGATACGTTCACAGCTTTGCGGATGTAGCTCCCTGCGGAAAAGACGAGATGACATCATATTGCCTTCTGCTTTAAGTGGATTAAGTTGCAGAAGAAAACCCTGAAGAAAAACCTGTAATCATTTGTGTGGATTTCCCTGACATGATAGTCAAAAAGAGACTTACCATATTTTTCAGAGTATAAGATGCACTTCCCCCTCCCCTAAAAGAGGGTGAAAATTTGGGTGCGTCTCATAAACCAAATGGTGCCCCACCCACCCGCCGGCTCCCACCCTTTGGCCTTTGCCTCCCAGCAATTTGCCTCCTTGCAGCAAACAGCCAACAGCCAGATTCACCTTCAGCACAGCCTGATTAGCGCAAGCAGCTGATTTGTCGGTTGGATCGTCCTCCCAACCATCAGTTGATCATCGGGAGGCCCATGCTAAAATTGAAACAGGCTGTTTGCTACAAGGAGGCAAATTGCTGGGAAGCAGATTTTTTTTCCTTGTGCTAATCAGACTAAACTGAAACTGAAACAGGCTGTTTGCTGCAAGGAGGTAAGTGAATAACTATAAATGGCTATAGAATGTTACAAATTATTAGACTTATTTTTTAAAGACTGCTTTATTATTGTTCTAGACAACAAAATGAAGCTTTTAAAAATAAATGCTTGATCTGAAGAGAGGCCCAGTGATATTGTATCTTCTTTTAAATAGCAGAGAATAACATATAGTTCCAGTAAGTCACATCAATTTTAACAGCTTCTGTACAAGTATAGTCTGAAATTAGACAATGTCCTGTTGTCTAATTAGGCCCTGACTTAGTTACGTTTGGAGTAGATCTATTTAAATAATTGGGAGGAGTTAGCATGACTACATTTAAGAAAACTTTCGGACATTAATATACTCCCGTAATGTACATTTCTCCAATCCTTTGCTATTTCTATGGGTCAGGCACACATGCACAGAAATACACCACAAACAGTGTATATCAGTGATGGCTAACCTTTTTGTCGAGATGTGCCAAAAGTGGGGAGAATGTGGAAGGGCTGCACGCACGCTTGCCCACACCCATAATGCAATGCACTCCCCCCACGCATGCACGCACAACCCCCCCCCTCGTGCATGCGCACAGGCCTCACTGAAGCTTTTGGACTTCCAGTTTGTGCGCTGGGCCGTTTTTTGCCCTCCGCAGGCTTCAGGAAAGCCTTCTGAAGCCTCCGGAGGGTGAAAAACAGCCCAACGCGCAAACCGGAAGGCTGTTCCCGAACTTCTTGTTTGCACGTTGGGTGGTTTTTTGCCTTT